CTTTCCAGTAAGTAATAACTTTCCAGTAAGTAATTCCTTTAGATCTTTTGCTTCAGTCCCTACGTACGTAATCTTCCGTTAACGTTGCAAAAATTCTCTTTGATAACGCTGGGCATTGTTGTGAAAACATCTTTAAGTTGGACACACGTGGAAAACGCCGTTCAGCAGCGCAAAAGCGTAATATTTTACGGGAGAATCAGTAGAAGGACAGGTTTGACGAGCAAAAGTCGTAAACGATGATTGTATTAGTGTATCAAATGTTTTTCTTAACAAGTGGGTGAATGATGTAAATCTCATACTTGTGGCTGGGGCGTACTATTTATGGCACTCCCTATAAAACACATACGGAGCAGTTGATTTCCACGGGTGTTATGAAGATTGAGCAAATGTCTGCAGTCTAGGTGATGATCACTAATGTGTTGTAGGAACGTTACACTAATATTTTGTGTTTTTTTTCTTCAAGGAAGTGATGTTGCCTTCGCTTAGAGTTCAACCTTGGTACTTCTTTCTATTTGGTAAGGAGTATTTATTGGAACCAGCTAAATGGAAAACTAAGAAAACAGGCCAATCCAAAATTGATAATTATTAGCAATTTATAAGAAAATACCGTCGAGCAAGAAAAGACGCCAAGAAGACCAACAAGACACAATCACAGGCTCGTATCCATAATTACCAGTCGTTTCTCTTCAGCAGCGCGTAATTCATGAGGGGAAGGGCGCTTTCCTTCCCATCAGCCTTCGAGCGTGTCGAAAAATAAAGCGCAATGACTGGGTACGAGTCTGGAGCAATCAAAGAAACGCCCATTGAACCAATCCAAAACCAACCAACTAACCACCACACAATTTTTGAATACATACTATGACTTCTTTGTGTGTTTTTTCCCTACGTTGTAGGTACGTACGTATTTGTTGGCGTATTCTTTCTTACTGCAATTGTTCTTGCTATTGTTGTGGATAGCTACTGGTAAGAGATTATTACGCAGTTCTTTGTAGTATAATTGGTAATTGGC